GGTTTGGAATAATTTGGCCATGGATGATGGGACTTGCAATCATTTCACTCACTTCCTGAGATCACTGCGACCCTCGCCAATGACTGATCAAGACCAAACTTGGCACACAGAGTCCCCATGACCCACTCTACATCCTGGTGCACTTTCGAGGAGGACAGACTATGGATGATGGGACTTGAAGTACCTCCACTCCCTTCCCAAGACTGCTGCAACCCTCATCCAATGTCCGATCAAATCCAAACTTGGCACACAGAGCCCCCATGACCCACTCTACGTCCTACTGCGGTTTGGAGTAGGGCATACCATGGATGATGGGACTTGGAGTACCTCTACTCGCTTTCCGAGACTGCTGCGACCCTCAACAATGACTGAACAACACCAAACTTGGCACATAGACCTCTCATGACCCACTTTACGCCCTGGTGTGGTTTGACTGTGGATCGTGCATGGAATTTGGGACTTGCAGTACCTTCGCTCAATTCCTGAGACCACTGCAAAACATCATCCAATTTCCGATAAGGACCAAACTTGGCACACCGGGTCTCCATGATGCACTCTACATCCTGGTATGGTTTGGAGGATGATGCACCATGGATGATGGGACTTGCAGTACCTTCACTCAGTGAAACCACTGAGAACCTCATCCAATGACTGATGAAGACCAAACTTGCCACACAGAGCCCCCATGGCCAACTCAACATTCTGGTGAGGTTTGCGGGAGAACAGACTATGGATGATGGGACTTCAAGTACCTCCACTCACTTCCCAAGACTGCTGCAACCCTCATCTAATGACCAATCAAGACCAAACTTGGCACAACAGAGCTCCCATGAGCGACTCTGCATCCTGGTGCTGTTTGGAGGAGGACAGACAATGGATGATGGGACTTGCAGTACCTTCACTCACTTCCTGAAACCACAGTGACACTCATCCAAATACCAAGAAAGACCAAACTTGGCACAGAAAGCCCCCATGGCCAACTCAACATTCTGGTGATGTTTGAGGGAGACTGGATGATGGGACTTGGAGTACCTTAACTCATTTTCTGAGACTGCTGAAATCCTCATCCAATGACTGATCAAGACCAAACTTAGCACACAGAGTCCCCATGACCCACTCTCCATCCTGGTGCAGTTGGGAGGAGGATGGACCACAGATGATGGGACTCGCAGTACCTTCACTAACTTCCTGAGACCACTGCGAGCCATATAAATAACTGATAAAGACCAACCTTGATACACAATTCCTTTCTCTAATAACCCGGGCAGCGCCGGGTCCCCAAGCTATATATATATAATTGTTTTCAGTATTACAGTTGATTTTAAATATACTATATTTTAAACTGTTTTATTTTATAACTGTGTAATAAAATAATTGGGATTTTTCTAATAAATAGCATAAAAGTTGAAAGAATATATCTAGTGACTGACAGCAGGATCAGTAGTTCTTTTCAAGCAAGAATGTGCTTTGAACTGCAGTCATTTCAAGAAGTAACAGCTATATTAAGATAAAAGCATCTGCACATTTCAGTGTGCGCTTTTATTTGGGTCAAGTATTTTAAATTAGAAAGCTTCTAAGGAAGACAAGGTCTGTGGAAAATAACGGGCGTCTCTCAAGGTAGCTAAAGGCAGTTTGTTTTAGAGATAATCTATATACAGTGATATGCTTTTAAAACGATATTATCCCATGAAGGCTATTTCTTCTCTATGAAGGTATTTGTAATAATACCCCAGTGAACTTCCTAGCAAGGCTTATCTGTAAGTTCTACCATGTTCGTAAAAATAGAACAACAAAACTATTGTTTTCAACTGATTATTTTTATAAGATACTTTCTAATCAGCCCACATGTCTCCAAATGTATTTGCTTCATGAAGCAAGTGTGGAACACCAATTTACACAACATATTCAGTTTTTATCTGAGATCTTCATTACTGAAGTCACACTATGGTTGTCAAGCAAATCTCTTCTGCAACGTGCAAAATTACAGTAACAATCAGATGTATTCAAATATTGACTTATTTCTCTCTTCCGATTCAACAACCAAAAAGCCAAATAAGGGTTAAATATAGAGCTAAAACTAGCATCAAAAATTTACTAAACATGAATTATAATTTAAAATACACACATGCATATCATACAAGAGAAAACAGTTATTCAAATGTATATAGGGACTACCATTCAGAGATGAATTCATCTGATGAAATTGATTGTGGAAAGAGTGAAAACTACATATATATTTGAAATATTTTCAATTTTTAAAGGAGTGTTACTGTGGTTTCTCAATTTTTCATACTGAAGCCAGACCATCACATAGTAGGTATTTTTAAATAGGAGGGCATTCAAGTAACTTCCTGCACATACGAAATCTCGCTGACATGCTGAAAGGTACCATATACAGGTTGAGCAAACCTTATCTGAAAATAAAAAGTATTTTTAAAAAATTGAAACTTTTTTGTCACTAGCACCTTTCTGCCTTCATTTTCTTCTACCTGCAGAGAGAGAGGAATAGGAAAAGGAAGGAGGGAGCACCTATCTTTTCTTCTTATTGTTTCACTCTTCTTCCATCCTACTCTCGGGTTCACTGGTGGTAGTGGCCCATGAAATGAATATACCAGCAACAGCGAGAGGTGGAGTTGCCTCATGCCCACGACTATGGTACCCTACTGAGGTTATGGTAGTGGCACAAAACCAGCTATTTCACTGAAAATTCTTCCTTCACAAATACTTTATAGATTTTTTCTTTCCAGTTACAATTTTGCTGTCATTTCCAATTTATGGCAATCCTAAGGTGGAGGTATCTTGGCAAGATCTGTTCAGGGGCAATTTGCCTTTGCCTTCCTCTGATGAGAGAGTGTGACCTGCCCAAACCCAGTGAGTTTCCACAGTTGAGTGGAGATTCAAAATCTTGTCTCCAGAGCTGTGTTCTAGTGCTCAAACTTCTACACTATTCTGGCTCTCATTTATCACATATAGGTTGAATATCACCTATCCAAAATGCTTGGGAACAGAAATGTTTCAGATTTTTCCAGATTTTTGAATGTATTTGCAGCTCTGTATATAATGAGATATCTAAGAGATGGGGCCCAAATCTTTAAAAAAAGGTTTCATATACACCTTACAAACACAACCTATTTTGTAATTTTATGTACATTTTGGAGTATTTCAAAATTCTAGATAAGGGATGCTCAACTTGTACTATAATAAATTTAAGTATTTTCAAATCATTATTGTCAACATATGATTATGTTGTCAAGCAATAATTTTACATTCTTTTTTAATTGTTTAAAATACTTTTATTGTTTGTTTTAAACTGATGTTATTATAGGTGGCCCAGAGATCTTTAGATACAGAAAAAATAGCAATATTTTAATTAATAAATACAGTCATCCTTCAAATCCATAGATTCTGAGTCCAGATTCAATGAACCATGGCTCAAGAATACCACCCCTCCCCTCCAAAAAATCCAAAAAACCGGCTTTGATTTTGCTATTTTATATAAGGGATGTTATTTAATTACACCATTGCATTTAATAGGATTTGAGCATGGAAAGATTTTGATACACACAAGGAGACCTGGAACAAAACCCCAGTGGATACCAAGGGCCACCTATAATAATTAATAAAATATGAGCAGAAAAACATAAAAAAGAATACAAAAATGTACCACAAACTCTGATAAGGACTTCTTTTATGAGCAGATGAGTGTCCACACCACATTCAAAGGGCAGAAGATCAACAATGTTGTACGTGTAATAATTATATTAATAAGCCATAGATCTCTTCCTAAAAACTTTTATGGGTAGGAGATTATTCCAATATCCTACTGCACAAAAATGACAGGAAAAGAGACCACATAAACTTTGGCACCAAGGTGGGACCGGCTATTAAAACCAGTCAATGTTTGCAGAACTCTATGCAGCTACCAATTCTACAAATATAAACAGGAATAGGCAAATACAAATGGCCCTGGTGCCAGTGTTCAGCCTGGAAGCGTCCCAGTGTCACATGCACTGCCAAAAGTATACAGAAGCCCCCTTCTGTTTTTGAAAAAAATGGTGTTGTTGATAGAGAACCTGACTTAAAAGGTGAACTGCTCCTTTGGGAAGCTCCCAAGGAATGCAACAAAGAGAGATCAATCCCTGAATATTTATTTTATATTTGACCTTATATGAGGACTGTATGTTCATTAGGATTTAGAAGGGTGTTTCATCAAATTCAAGGATGGGAAGACAAAGAAAGCAAATGGGGTGTCATTGAAGAAAGTTGTGACAAAGAAAACAGGAAGTTGAGAGGAAGATCTGGGAAAGATAGGAGGAAGATTATCAAGAGTGTTAAAAAATAAAAATGTTATTTTCTGGTCAAATTAAATTAATTGAATAAAGCATGACCCTCTATTTGGGGCAGAATGAGATCATAGAATCATAGAATCAAAGAGTTGGAAGAGACCTCACGGGCCATCCAGTCCAACCCCCTGCCAAGAAGCAGGAATATTGCATTCAAATCACCCCTGACAAATGGCCATCCAGCCTCTGCTTAAAAGCTTCCAAAGAAGGAGCCTCCACCACACTCCGGGGCAGAGAGTTCCACTGCTGAACGGCTCTCACAGTCAGGAAGTTCTTCCTAATGTTCAGATGGAATCTCCTCTCTTGTAGTTTGAAGCCATTGTTCCGCATCCTAGTCTCCAAGGAAGCAGAAAACAAGCTTGCTCCCTCCTCCCTGTGGCTTCCTCTCACATATTTATACATGGCTATCATATCTCCTCTCAGCCTTCTCTTCTTCAGGCTAAACATGTCCAGTTCCCTAAGCCGCTCCTCATAGGGCTTGTTCTCCAGACCCTTGATCATTTTAGTTGCCCTCCTCTGGACACATTCCAGCTTGTCGATATCTCTCTTGAATTGTGGTGCCAGATGAAGTGGGGATGTGTCATCCTGGCAGGTGTATAAAATTTGAATTAAGAATGATATTCTAATACACTTGTACACACACATGCAAATACTTACCCAATTATCAGAAGAGCGGTACAAACCAGAAGAAACCCAAGTGTGTATTTCAATGCAGTTTGAACCTGCTGTAAAATTAAAGTAATAAGCGATTTCAGAAATACATATAATCTCTTCATGCTAATTCATGCAGTGAGCACAATTTTCCCATCAAAGAAGCTTAATTGGTTTACATTGGAATTCATTTCAAGAATCTTGATTTCTTCCTGTAGAAGTTGGAATTAACTTTTAGTATCATTTCCAAAAACAAACTTTACATTTGTTTCCAGTATGACCCAGGATCTCTCTTACAGCTGATTTTCTTAGCCCCTAAATACAAACGTTATTTATCTCCACCAGTTCAATATCAAATCTTCTAGTTCTCTTTCCTTTTCTTGTTTCAGAGGCACTACTACTCAAAAATGAGAACTGCCAACATTATTTAATGTATTACATTATTTTTGCTCTTGTTCTGCAATTTCACTGATAAGAATCCTTTACACACAGTTTCACAGAAGCATAGAATCAGAAAATAATATGGTGGCCACAGCTGCTTCCCCTAGAAGTAGTCTTTGAAAAAAGGAAATGTGATTTACTGCATAAATATTGTTCCTTTAGGCTTCTGCCTCCACATGCACTTGCCAAGAGGGCAAAGAAATGGTTAGTTTAATGGACTATGAGTGTTCTAGTGCTATAAAAGGACTGATATTTATGTTCTAGTTATTGCATATAGAAGATTTCAGGTTCAAGTCCTGACATTTACAATTAAGAAAATCAAGTAATAACTAATGGGAAAAGACCCTAGTTTGAAACCCTAGAAAACCTACTGTAGGCAAATCTGACATTATTTTACTCCAAGGTTATCCTAAGCAAATAAATACATGCATACAAGTGCCAAAACCAGGTTGAAACCAGATCAAGTAGTATTTTGACCTTAATGCAATTTTAAGTGCCGATAAGAATGCATCTATTAAATGAATTACGACCTCACACAAATTCAACTGGTTCACATGGTTTACTCTACTTGGGACTAATAACTGTACTTAATCTGAAATAGTGTCTTCCATGGTTACAGGCTGCTATAGCAGTTGTACACGACTAACCAGTTTCTTCCTTACGACAACTTCATGGTCTGTTCTGACTGGAAGAGATTGTCTTGCTTCTCAAGTTGTGGTCTTTCCCATCAGTTGTGACTTGATGCTGTTAACTGTATCTAAAATCTCAGCAAGTGAACCTGGTATCTTCTAAATAGTTTTAGCATTTAACGATTCAACTAGTGGTAAAACAAGGAAATAAAAGTATTTTATTTACTATATACATAATAGTTATGAAATAAATAAAGGCTTCTTACTGAACATGTGTTAGCATCATCTTCATCTTTCTCCTCATAGTAGAAGTAGACAAATGGTATCCATAAGAATACACAGAACAGTATGATGGAATACAGTGCTAAAGTGGAGAAATGAAAATATAGTCATGTCGCAAACCTTTCTTCTTGTGAGGTTTATCAGTTAAAACCACTACCACTACAATGTTGTTTTATGTACATAATAAAGCGAGTATGAGCCCAAAAGCTCTGAAGATCCATTGAAGTGGGATTCTCTAGCTTTCACTCATAAGGCACAAAACATGCAATGTATTGATTCAGTGTTACCAATATATCCAGCAGTTTAGACATGAATGTAACTAAAAGGCAAAATCGCTCTTCTGAATTAGTTGTAAGAACAAAGGCGGCATGGGGGGGGGGGGACACGGGGGACAGGGAAGGAGGGGCATGACTAACATGGAACCGATGCCAGCAAATATTGTTATATAGACATCTGGAGTTCATTTTCGGATTTTTTCTATGCCCAAGAAAAAACTAGAGTAAATCCCATCACTGAACATTCTAGTGAAGATAAAAGAGAAGCCATCTGAAACACTTAAAGTAACTTCAAATTAAGAATACATCTGGATTCTATACTGTTAACCAAAAGGGACAAGGGAAAACAATTATTTGCTACAACTACCAGTATTACACTGCTATGGCCCTACAGCTAGAAGATAGTGCAACACCCCTCTCCCCCTCATACTATCAACGATAATGGAAGTTTGTCCCACAAACACTTGTGTTTTCAGTTCAGGCAATGAAAAGAATATCTGGTTCACTTATATATTCTAGAAGCCCTCAGTGGTGAAATGGATTAAACCCTTCTGCCGGCAGGACTGTTGACCGACTGGGCAGCGGTTCGAATCCGGGGAGAGCAGGTTGAGCTCCCTCTGTCAGCTCTAGCTCCCCATGTGGGGACATGAGAGAAGATTCCCACAAGGATGGTAAAACATAAAAAATCTGGGCATTCCCTGTGCAATGTCCTTGCAGACAGTCAATTCTCTAACACCAGAAGCAATTTGCAGTTTCTCAAGTCGCACCTGACACGTTAAAAAAAACATTATATTCTTATTGAAAAAATAGACATTGCCAAATAAGGCTTCAGTCTGATCTTTTTCAAGTGTGAAGCCTTCAATAGCAGTGTGCTTAATAAAGATAAACACTGGTGACCATACAAGAAATCCAGATATGATCACGCTGCACTTCATCCACAGAACAAAGCTTTCTTGTTCTATAGTGATTTTGGCTTATCACTACCAAAGGTTCTTTAGAAATGTTTTCTGCCTCATATAAAACATGCTGCTGTCAAGTTGATGAGAATAAAAGAATGGTTTGTTTAAATTAATAAGATTAAGTTCCAGTTAGTAAAAAAACCCAGATGCTACAGTCAAATAATATTTTTATATATTCTGATCATAATCCAGGACTGCCTACAGTCTCTTGAATACACCCTGAGATTTCCTATCCTCAAGGCTTCTCCAGTTCATTTTAATGGAAGAACCAGTTCTATCCATGAACTGGTTCTTGGGTATGTGGTTCATCTGAGGAACGGTATGAGTAGTTTCAACCCCTTGTCTGAAACAACGAAACAGAACCTATAGGCAAATGAGAACATATGCAGAACTGTTGACTGGAGTGGGTCCTTAACAGTTGCTTCTACAGATTCTGCATCTGCATTGAGTGAAGGTCAATGAAGATGTATACACTGGAAAATAATGTTTGCTTTTTTAAAAAACCACACACATTCACATAAAATATTGCTAAATATGCTTAAGCATTCCAATTGTCATGCTTCCCAATATGCTATAATCCAATGTTAAGTAAACGTTATACTATCATCCAAGCTGATTTGTTTGATCTTACCAAATGAACAACTTAGTATTTTCAGCCAAAACTCATTTGGTTTCAGAGATGTGCTTGAGGACTTGTGAAGAGTCAATAGGTTTTAAACTTATATTAAGCTGTTCTCATTAGCTAGATGTAATAAGCCCTAAGATTATATATAAGCCAAATAATATATACAAGACTATGAACTTACATGAATCTTCAATTAGAAAGCTTAAATGTATAACTGATTCCTTAAATATCTTTGGAGTTTCAGTCAACAAGGCATCTCATTAAGTATCTAATCACATTAAAGCAAAAGTTCTAATTACACTAAGGATGACATCATACAAAGCTTAATTTTCAACTAGAGCAAAAGGGTCCTAGATTTGACTCCCAAATTTAGGCTTCCTAGAAACTCAAATAAGTCTCTCAGATAAGTCAACACAAATACCACCAGTTAGAGGGTCATTTCCCTCCTATACGACAAAGGGAAAAAGGTAAGACAGTCTATTGAGTATAACTTCTTCCACATCTTAAACTTCTCTTAGTACAGAGTCTATATTGACTCCGGAAGGTAGGAGGGATTACCTATATAAAAACGGAAATTCCAAACATACAGGGAGAGTAAATAATTCAAGTCAGATTATTTCACAAATATTTCATTGAATCAGTGGCCATGAAACAACCCCACTACAAAACACATACCTTATTTTTCAAAACAACCAAATGGCACTATAATCCACAATAACACATGCAGCTTTCGGCACAATGAAGTGATAACAAATCAGTTTAAAAAGCTGATTTCTAAACATACTAAAGGGACATAAATACTCTAAAGGTACCTGGTCTTATGAGGTCTTGGAAGCTAAGCAAGGCCAGCTTAGCTTCCAAGATCAGATTGATAGGAGATCACCCACCAACAACTGGCTGCCGTAAGCTGTATTTCAGAGGAAGGAACTGGCAAAACCACCTCTGACTATTCCTTGTCTACGAAAACCCTATAAAATTAATGTGGGCACCATAAGCTAACAACCAACTTGAAGGCATATACGCACAAGCATAGAGACTAAACTATTAGTTTCATCTGAAAATCAGGACTTGTTTTTTGAAATCGCAACAGTTAATGAGAAGTTGTCTAAAGTGGACGGAAACCGTTGACCATTTTTGAGTTCCTTAAAATCTTCACATAAGTTTTCAGAGGTACCCATAACAAGATTTATTATCCAAGTAATATTTAGCTTTCTCATTCATATTATCATGTATTTCAGTAGTCATCATACTAACTCATGACTTAACTCAAGGCAGAATACCCAATAGTGAGTGTGTGTTTACTTGTGTGTATCTTCAAGTCGTCTGTCTAATTATGCAATCCTATCAATTTCATAGGGTTTTCCAAGGTAAGGAACACCCCTAAGAGGTGGTTTTGTTAGTCCCTTCCCATGAAAGAGAGCCTACAGCACCCGATATTTACTGACAGTCTCCTACACAAGTACTGAGCATGTATTAACCCTAGTTAGCTTCCAAGATCAGTCAGGATCTGGTGCCTTTAAGTTATTTAAGACTTCCCCCATTAATCAGATATTTTGAATGGTAGGTAATATATGCCTGTTGTCTATATTCAAACCATTACCACCATCTGGAGGTTGATCTGTGCAACAGCATTCAACAAAGGCACTGAAAAATGTTTTCTTCAAAAGAGAAAGAATAAACTCCATGTTTTAAATATATATATTACCCCTAGAAAATATTCATGTGGCTTTTTCAATTTTTCCCATTTTCAACAAAAAATGAGATTTCCCGTTTTTGTATTCTGTTTATCATCAGGTAATAGCATCAAAAAAGAAATGAAACTACAGTATATGGATGGAGACATCACTTTTGGAGTGCACATTTCTTAAACTGGGCATTCACAACATTCCATCATAGAAATAGGAATCCTTTTTAATATTAATCTTCCTTTTTAATATTAATCTTATGTTGATGTCTAAAGACATAGAAGATAATTTCATTGAAAGAGATTTAGCTGTGTCAAATTCTGTAACTATGGATTCATAAGAAATCCATTCATCCAGGCAATATTTCCAGAATGCTAATATAGGGACAATAACACAAAGTATAATGAAATTTATTTTACTGAACATGTTAAAAATGATGCTTATGACCAACCCACAATATATGTAATTTTTTTACAACTGTATAATATTTTATAATATGCAGTCATGCCGGCCACATGACCTTGGAGGTGTCTACAGACAACGCCGGCTCTTCGGCTTAGAAATGGAGATAAGCACCAACCCCCAGAGTCAGACACGACTGGACTTAATGTCAGGGGAAAACCTTTACTTTTACTATAATATTTTAGGCATCAAGGGAGAAAGGCATCAAGGAGAAAGATTCTAAAATGAGGAAAAAATCATTTTCTTTAATGACAACACTTTTACTGGCTATGCAGTATTTTAACACTTTCAGTGGGAGATTTCTCCTATTTCTTTTTTATGCAATTTTAGAATGTTTTTATAGCCAGCATAAGACCTTCCTTCAACATTTCTGGGGTCAATGAAGAAAATGGGAAGGTTCCGTTTTCAACAAATTATCCTTCTTTGTCCAATTCATCAGGAGGTTTCTATACTCAAAAAAAAAGAAAAGAAAGAAACTTTCAAAGCCAGAGCTCCTGTTGGCTATAGACAGTCTGCTAAATTGTATGCCCCCTAGAACAGCCCTCTTAAAATGCCTTGGTGATCTAAGAATTCATGATGCAGATATGGGCCTTTTCACCACAGACCATGGCCTAGTCACTCCCCCCACCTTCCCCAGCTTGAACAGTTGGCTTAAATAACTGCTTAGGAGTACTTCTAACACTTTTATTGCTATTTTGACATTTTAGCTTAAGTAAAAGCACTGGCCCATTGGTTTTATTTTTTAAATTACATCTGTAATTTGTGTGATTTATATTCTTTACATCTGAAAAACTTTAATAGCAATATGCACATTTTAATGCAGAAATTCTAAATTTTAAATCCATTTATATGTCATTAGGTCTTGTTTTCAGAGAAGAATCAAACTGAGAAATTTAGCTGTCTATCATTAATGCATGAACTTATATTCTGCAGTAGAGACTAAGCAGATCTAATATTATCTGCATGTTAAGAATGAGAACACAGTACTGACAATGGTATGAATTGCTGAAAAGCCAGCCAGAACAATGCAGTTTTTAAAAGTGTTATAATTTTGGTTTTAAGTTAGGAACGGGAATCAGAGGATTTCTGAGAGCATCTAGTTGGCCACTGTAGGAAAAGGAATGCTTAAGCAGGTGGATCTGCAGTCTGATACTTCAAGATATCTGTTACATCTAAACCTAACCAGTGTGTGGAAGTGAAATAAGACTTTCTATATATAAAAATAAAAGAATGTGATTTCTATAACTTCATGGACTCTTTCTATTTGCAAGTAAGTAATCCCCCTTCTCAACAGTCATCACTGAATATGCTCAGTGGTCCCTAGAAGCTTTTCCTTTTTTGCTGTAAGGACTAAAACAGAGGTACAGACAGCATCTCTTTCTTCTCCACAATAAAAAAAATGATTCAGCACTTGTATAAGCCTTACATTTTATGCAGATATGCCAGATTTACATAGAGAAGCAATCTACCTGGCCGCCACATCTGAGTCACTGCCCTCTAAAAATAGCACAGTATTATGCAAGAATCTGAAGAGGTTATTATATCAAAAGTACCCCATTTTTGGAAAACAGGAAATCTGTTTAAATATTTGCATTCGCAGATGTTTAAAAACCCCTTGAAGGAATGTTTAATTTAAAATACTGAAACACTGGTTCAGTACCAAGGAGGTGTTCATTTACTACCTCACTTACATCTGCAAGTATGAATGTGATATTTTAAGCTTCCAAGCTTATCTGACAGGTGGCCCAAATGCATAAACAGTTATTTCCCCCCACAAATATTGGCAAGTAAGGAGAATCTATCCTAGCAGTCAGTGAAAGTCAATAAACCTTCACTATGCTCTGACTGAGGTCTCCTACACTCTTCGATGCAACACTGTGATATACTTCATTCAAATTGCAGCAGATTTTTTCCTCCTTGCTGGAACCAAATATCATCTGCTCAGCTGGAAAGAGCCGTTTACATAAATAGTTTCTTTACCTAGCAGGAGAGCAAAATGTAGACACTGCAAAACAAAATAACTAGCCACGGATACTGAAATCCTGAAACAAATCTGCTCACATACTGTCAGACATTTCTGAATATCGTGCTCAGCATATGTTAGAACAAGGAAACAATTTCTCAAAATTGTTTACTATAACACGGGTTTTTCAAATCCAGGAAATCCAACACCTCTGGCTTTGTGCTATATAGGTGTATGTATGTTTGGAAGTGAGGATACACATTTTGGCAGGGTGGTCTGCAGCAATTCCACTAGGAGGGGGCAACTCTCTCTCTCTCTCCCTCCCTCTCTCTCTCTATATATTACTCTACTTATACCCCGTCTTTCTCTACCCCGAAGGGGGCTCAAGGCGGCTTACATATAGGCAATCATTCAATGCCTTACAACACATACAATTCCAGTAACATTAAAATTAAAACACATTAAGCATTTAAAACGTTTAAAACCATTACATTCAATATAAATCACACCATCCAGAATCATAGTCCAAAGACATTATGTAGTCATTGTACATATTCCAAATCTGTTATTGCACTGTAGTCTTCAGACCTGCTCCTGATCTACAGTGACCAAATGAACTCTGTCAATCTAAGAGTGCCTGAAATGCCTCATTGGTCACATGATCATGATATGACACAATACATATTCAACAAAACAACACTCATCTTTCTGTAATTCTTGTGATGAGCTGCACAAATGCCTGGGTCCTTAGGCAGATTTTGTAGTCCACAATATTTCCAGAGCACTTGTTTTCTATGTTAGGAAGGGGGGGATTGAACTGCCATTCTTGGGAGTCTCAAGAAACACTAACTCGTCTTTTGGAGAAGTTACAGCTCCTCTATCTCTGCCCACAACACTATTTAACTTTTTTCCTAAAACAAAAGTACACTTGCAGCCATTTCTATTTTTGTTTTGTTTTTAGGATTACTTGCTGCCTATGAAGCCTCTGAGAGGCTCCCAAGGACAGACTCACCGAAGTGCCCACTTTGTTCTATATCACTCAGGGCTGTGAGTGCCTAACAGAATCAGAAGCTGGACCCATGTGTAAGTCAAAAAACATTTTCTGAGAAATCCTTTCGGCTGGAACGTATTATTGAGCTACATTCTCACTGTGGAATTCATATTAAATACAAAGTATGCCATCATTGCAACACCAAGATGAATGGAACCTATTATATTCTTATCTGGAATGTTTGGGTTGGATGCAGAGATCTCCAATTCTCAAAAAAGAGGAAAAAAACAGAAAAAATAAACCAAATTTAAAACTGAAAGTCACTGAACACACATCAAAAGCAGGAAATATCTCTGTAAGAACTCAAAACATTATTTTACTCACTGTAATATGCATAGAGAACTGTGTCTTCAATCTGTCTTGTAACATTTGCATCAGCCCAGTCCTGAATATGTTGACAAATGAAGAAAAACACAACTATTAGATTAAATTGCCATTTACAAATTCTATGTAGAAGAGTTATTTCTAAGCCTGATGATGATGATAACAATAATACATTTTATTTCTGACACAGAACATACCTCAACCCAAATTTGTCATATGGAAATCAGCCAGGAACTGGTGGCAACCAGCAATAAATCTCAAAGACTTAAAAAAGCCAGTAGAAAATTGTTTCTGTCATGCTGTACTATGTCTCAAAGACAAAATGATCAGTGTGGGGAAAAACCTTGGTTCTATTTTCAGTTACCCGCCAGAAACAAAGAATGACATGGCTGAAAATTTTTATACCAGAGATTACAATGGACAATTCTAACACATATATTCATCTGAAGAACCAACAAACAACTTGAACACACACACACACACACACATTTTTAACAAGCAGGACTGGAAGTGTTTTTAATTTACAATTCTTATAACAAAAAACATCAATAAAACTAAAAACAGAGGAAAAGGAAAAATGAGTCCTTTTAAAAATCATAGTAACAATGACATATATTGGCATTGTTATAACAATGCCATAACAATGCCAAAGCCTATATTTTAATATCAAAATATCAATACTGTATTGCTGCAAAGACTAACTTCTGTTCTTAGCTGCATATACATTCCTTTTCTTAATTCTTTACCTATTCAAAATTGAAAAAGAAAAACTACACTGCTACACTGTCACACTACTATCTTACATCATTCATTTATCGAAATTGCCAGTCTGATTTAGATGCAAATCAGATGGGTTTATGCACTCCTCCATAGTTAGTATTTGTTAGTCAGCACTGATATGTCTGCATTGATGTAATGATAATTACAATAACATTAATAATCTAAACCAGCTGTTTCAATTGGGTTAGATGGCTAACTAATATTATAGATAACTAAGACTATGCCAGTACAGTATAAAATGAGCACCCTTTATCGAGAATTCTGCAATCTGAAGTACTCCAAAATCCAATCCTGTCTAAATGGGTGGCTTTGGTGTGTGTGTGTGTGTTCTATGCACAATATTGTTTTTGGTGGGTAGTTTGAATTTCAGAATTCCAGATAAGAGATGCTCATTCTGTAGTAATCATTTCTTTATTATTCAGTCAAAAAAAACTGCAGTCCTGATCAGGTAGCTGCACTGGAACACTATGCACAATGATCATTTCCAGAAAATAACTTTTTGGAATTACTATTCTGCAACAATTATCTCCATCAGTGATTCTGATGAAGTACTAGTGTGTATGCATGTGTGTCTATAGAGTTCTACTCATTAAAATCCAACTTTATATCTCCTTCTCACCTAACCCAGTTTTGACAACAGATATCCGCTGTTCGTACCTGGGAAACGTAACTGGCTAAAGGACGCTGAGCTAAAATTCAATCCAGGCAAGGCAGGTTATTTTAAATGGGTTGTCCATCCAGTTGTGTTCAACCTGTTTGGGGGGCAGGGCTACATTCTTCCAGAATGATCAGGTGAACAGTTCAGGTTTGCTCTTAGATCACTCACAACTGACCTCAGTGGAAATCAGCACTTTTTACCTAATTAGGTGGAGACACCAAATATAGTCCAACCTAGACAGAGATGCTTACAATATGGTGACTTTCTGCATGGATTACTGGAATGAAGTGTATGTGGGAATACATTTGATACCTTGGAAGCTTCAGCTTGTTCAAAATGAACCTGCTAGGTTAAAAGTTTGTATATGTGTTTTCACATAATTTCTAGTTTACAACATCTTATGGGGTTTTCTCAGGCAGACTTGTTCAGAGGGAGTTCAACATTGCCTTCCTCTGAGGCTGACAGAGTGACTTGCCCAGGGTCACTTAGTGGATTTCCATGGCTGGGTGGTGACTCAAACCCTGATCTCCACAGCTGTAATCCAATTCTCTACACCAAATCTCAGGTTAAGAACCGAGTCTTCTAAATATGAACACGCGATGCCTACACTGATTCCCACTTCATGTCCAGGGGCAGTCTGTCATCTTGCCATTTTGAACAACAGGGCATTTCAAACTGAGCATGCAATGAGAATGAAAGCCATTGCATTCCATAAAGCAATAGAATATCTGAAACAAACTTTCTTCCTATATGTACTCATCCACACCGCTAAAACACATTTGGTAGTTGACTGTAAGAGAGAAGGCATTCTCACTTGAAATGTCCTCCTCAAGGAATGCCCTACTGAAAAACACAGTTCCTACTAGGCATCTACAGTGATAATTTTTCAGCATCAGGCAAAGATGTGTTGATAAGTTTCATTTTTCTCATTTTATAATTAACCTTTTATTTTTCAGTTGTCATTTCAAAAATGACAATGTTAAAATGCCAGTTTGACTGAAACTCAATAGGGGAATTCCCACTTTGTAGCTCATGCAATGCAAAAAATAGCTTAGAGCAGAGGTGTCCACCTTACACACGGTACATTTAAATTGGCTGGATTTTGGGACAGTACAAAGTTGTTTACTAGTATGTATGCATGTATGTGTATCTGTGGAGTTCTACTCATTAAAATCCACTAGTTCATTAAACTAACTGACTGACTGTCTTGGCTGGAAGTTGGATGGGATAATTCCATACTGACAAGAGGCAGACTGAAACACAAGAACAAGAAGGCATAGCTAATGGGGAGAAGAAATAAAAAAGAACTCAGAAAGAAGACTAGTTTGGACTAGAATTATCTGTAATAGCAACAGATCTTCAGGGAAGATCCAAGCAAAGTCTGAAATTACTTTAGTGCAGCAGAAGTAAGTAGAGCAAAAATACAGGTAAGTCAGTAAAGAACTGCTACCCTTTTAAGGCCCCTTCTGCATTGCCCTATATCCTAGGATCTGATCCCAGATTATCTGAATATCCCAGATTATCTGGCAGCGGAGATTCATGTAATCCAGTTCAAAGCATATAACCTGGGATCAGTGTATAAGGAACCTAAGAGAACAACTGTTGTGTCAAAGACTGAAGAAGCAGCCTTGAGAGAAGATGTATATGTATTTAAGTAAACCAAAACCCTTCCCAGAATAAAGGGAATTCTCTGAGTCATTCATTGAGTTAAAGGTGCAACTGTATAAGGTTATTTGCTAAAGGTTGGTTATGCAAGATACATTGCTTTGACAAAGAGAACTTCTTAAGGCTATAGTGACATCGGTTGTAATAGTTAAATACAATCCTTCCTTCACATTCAATGGCATTTGGGGAGCAGGATCCTTGTGAAAGTGGAAAAACTGTGAATAAAAAAACCTCTTTATTTTTTTTTTTTTTTGAGGGAACACTTAAGGAGGAATTTCTAGGTTCTCCAGTGCAACTCTGCCAGTAAAATAGTTTGCAATGATCTATAAATGTATATAGAAGTGTTTTATCTAAGAATCTCTACATCCTCCAGTACAGCTCTACATTTAACTTCTTCTGGAAAATTACCATAGAATTATGCTGGAAGCCGTAGAGCTTGCTAGAGAGAACATACCGATTGAATCTGCGAGTAATCAAATCCATAAATATAGAGGACCAATTGTAATTCCTTCCAAAGAAATAGCAGATTATTGAAAACATTCCAACATTGAGCTTCTAATGTACTTTGTTCTCACTACAACTTTTGCTCCTGTTCAAGACACCAGAACATCCACATACCATGGGTTTTACAGGGTCAAGGAATGAAAGCATCTGGGGCCCTGAGCAGGAGGGAGCCTGGTAACACAAACTGGCTCTGATTGGAAGACCTGAAGGATGGATGGAGAAACTTTCTGGAGCTATGGGGTTTGGGGGATTGGAACTGAGAAGTTGCCCACATTTTCTTCATTTGTAACTTTGCTTTATGGCAGTAACCTAGCATTAAATAGATTTCCAAGATTTCCTTGTGAGTAAATTTAACTACTACCAAGTTCTGCGAATATCACATTTGCTAGATATTTACTACTTTAAAGGTACTATCTCATCAATTTAATTATTAGCACTTCTGGGGTGTTTTGACACCAGCCTAAATCCAAAGTGCTCTAATTCTACAGTGTAGGAGTCCAAACTGAAAGCTCTACATCTCCAGGCACACCTAGGAGTTAAAGCCTCATGAAAAAAAAGGGCTATATAAAAGGTATGGGCAAACTTTGGCCCTCCGAGTATTTTGGACTTCAACTCTCACAATTAGTCCTGGATAGGAGTAATAATGATTAAAGTGAATTGATGTTTTATGGTGGTGGAATAAGACCCGGAATAAGGGAAAATCAGGAGAAATGTATAAGCTTTCACTTAAGGGTAGCTATTAGAGATGATTCTCCCCACAAATCAGTTACTGGTGACGAAAGTTCTACTACCACAAACTCTCCACCACAATGTGTGACAACATTGGGAACACCTCCACAGCTTTCATATATTCTGCTTTCATTGTTGCACTACCTTTTTCCATATCTCATTCCATTAACTTTCTGAAAATATGTGTCACTGTATAGATAAAAATATGATTAAATCCTATAGTTCAAACAGATTTATTTTCTAGTAACAGGATTTAAGATTGCACTTCAAGGGATTAAGAATTTTTATAATTAGGACATTTAATAGAAGAATTCATAGTACATATCCAAAAACTAAAATCACTTTTTTAAGAGGTTACATGACATCTATAGCAGGAAATGGTAATCAATACCTACCTTAAAGGTCCCATTTTGGTTCTTCACATAAGAAACCAGAAAAATATCCACAGGTAAGAGTGCCGATGTAATAAGTGCAATTGCCAGAGCAAAAATTGATGTTATAGTGGAAATTACTTCACTTTCCCGTCTGCTCTGGTACTTGCGGACATAAACCCAGCAAAAAGCTAGGATAACCTTTAAAAAAGAGAAACAGGTTACCAAAACCCACTCTTGATATATTTTAATACCCAGTACAAAACAGTTCATAGAAAACTCCCTGCAGACTAGGCACAGCTTTTGAATTGTGCTTCTTCTAAGCCAGAGTTTATTGAGATTACTACCCCAGAAATCACTGTACTTTGCAGCTCAGTGTTGGAGAAATAAATAACTGCTATTTGTAAGTGTAGATTCAGCCCACAAAACACTGTCAAGCCTCCAAACTAATCAGCTTTATCTCTTAATTTTATTTTGATCTTCTAAAGGTTGAGTATCCGTTCTCAGAAATGCTTGGGATCAGAAGTTTTCTTTCTTTCAGATTTTGGAATATTTGCATATACATAAGGAGATATCTTGGAGATGGGACCCAAGTGTAAACACAAAATCCATTTATGTTTCATATACACCTTGGACACACATAAACTGAAGTAATTTTATACACAATATATTAATAATCTTATGCATGAAGAAACTGTACATACTTGCTCAACAAGGAGATCTGAGATCACTCCAAATTTTACTACAAAAGAGTGTTGCTGTATCACTGGATGAACAATGGGAATAAATGATACATTGCAGGCTACCTTGAACTGTTATATTTGCAAAATTATACAGATGCCAGATTTGTCAGGAATTCGGGAAGTCTTGTGCAAAGTAATCCCATTATTTTCGACCCTCTGATGTAACAACCAGCAGTTGTCCAAGACTACTTAATAAGATTTATGTCTGGGAGGAGAATGAAGTCAAGCCTCCCTTCTCCAAGTACATTTCATCTATTACATCTGACTGACGTTCACATTTGCTCTTAATGATTACACAGAGTTCTACCACTTTTGCCATGAAGTTTTATTATTACAGGAACTGTGCTTTGTTCACAGAAGAAAATATGGTTACTAGGAAAGATTAGAACTTTCTCCAGGGAATATATCCAAGACATCAACAACCAAAGCAAATAACGTGGTTAACACTTAAGGATCAATATGATACAGTAACTAAGGGTTCTGTTTTGGAGTAGAGCTGGATTATCTGCTTAGGAGGTATGATTTTGAAGACCCCATTTGTAAAATGAAAATATGAAGAATATAGCTGCCATTTCTTACAAAATTAAAAAAAGATGCAGTGATAAGTGATGAGTCACACTAAGGGCACATCTACACTGTAGAATTAATGTATCTTGACACTATGTTAACTGGCATGGCTCAATGTTATGGAATCATGGGAACCGTGGCTTTACAAGGTCTGCAGCCTTTTCTGCTAATGAGTGCTGATGCTTCAGCAAACTACAACTTCCCTAGCATTGAGCCATGACAATGTAGATGCACAGTAAGTTTTACCAAAAAGTTCTAGCCAATTAACAAAGAAAATGCACAGTACGTAACTTAAAATGACTAAATGTTATTAAACATTACTGTAAATTACATTTTTCATGGAGTGCAGTTAGTTCCTATTGGGATGTTCAATGTATGCTTGGCAGAGCAGATAGTACAAGGAGATCTGAGATCACTCCAAACAGCCCTCCACCCTCAGCCTTCTGAAGTGCTTCACATTTCCAATGGTTATTTTACAGGTATACCATGCAAATATAATGATATAATATCTGGAGGTGATGGTCATATCAAGAAAACAATACGACTCAATCTCATCCAAATATCCTCCCCCTCCACCCACCCATACTGGACTTTTCCAAGGGTTGGCAGCAACAACAAATTATTTCCAGCTTTTTAATGTATGCTAGATGGCTAATTGAGAATTCTAGATTATGCAATCAGCTCAAAATATGGAAATTGCATAATATTTTGGTTGGCTTGATTTATGCTGCCCACATTTCACATACACGAAGTTAGTGGTGGTTGGTAGCTTCCATGCTACTGGTATCATGAACCCGGTTTCAATCATAAGTTTGGAGGAGCTAGCCAACTGCAGAACCTTATTTCCAAAAAGATACAGGACCTTTGGCTGGTTCAATACTGTCAAATACTGCAGTTTAAACTGCATTATATGGTCAGATTAGAACCATATAAACAGTTCAAACCACACTGCACTGCATTATATATATGGTTCTACACCGAGTGTATAATGCAGTTCAAACTGCATTATCATTATCTGGCAGTGTGGAACTAGACAAAGCTCCTATGTCTATCCCAGGCGTGGGCAAACTTTGGTCCTCCCGGTATTTTGAACTTCAACTTCCACAATTCCTAACAGCCAGTAGGCCAGGCACGGGCAAACTTCGGCTGTTAGGATGCCTGGTCTATCCTCTCTGAAGGTCAGAGTAAAACCCAGAATGGATTTCCTGCTCCAATGACACAGAAACCCAGGTTGTATTTTAGGGGTTGTTTATCTTTTTTATTTTTATTTTTTTAAAAAAGCCAAATGGCAATTCCATCACAGGACATTTTAATGACAATCTGCTTTAACTGGGACGTACACTTATTTACTCATAAAGTAATGCCAAGGGGGAAAGCCAGCATGGAGTAGTAATTTAAGCATTGAACTACAACTCTGGAGAAACCAGGATTCGAATCCGCACTCAGTCATGAACTACCTGGTCTTGGGTGAGTCACACTCTCTCAGTCTCAGGCCCAATCTATGCCGCCATGTCATTCAGTTTCAGAATGCAGTTAACCTGCATTAGACCGCATTATATGGCACTGTAGACTCATATAATCCAGTTCAAGGCAGTTAAAACTGCATTATGTTGCAATGTCAGCAGGGCCTCGAAGGAAGGAAACGGCAAAGCTCTGCTGAGAACTTGCCAGGAAAACCCTGCCATCAGTTGGAAATGACTTGAAGGCACACAACACAACACTACATTGCATAATCCTTTTGGTAACTATGGCTGCCATGCAATGCAAACTTTGTTGTCGTTGCATGCTTGACATCACATGGTGTCCTTGGCCATGTTGAATGAATTGTTTATTGTACTAGCCATAAAATATACAACCTTTAAAAGTACAATAAGCACTTTCCAATACAAGTATTAAAACAAGTTCCATATACTAAAAATTATCCATATACTACTATAATAAAATTATAGTAGTGACATAATAACAGTTACAAATGTCTGGTTTGTATCATCCCCAAAATATCTTAATTTCCATTTCTAGCTTCTGCTGTGGACTTTACTAATTTGGCTCGGATTTTTTGGGCTGCGACTGCAAATGTGGCAACCTTTAATGTTATATTTTTGGAATAATCTGCTAACAAGTCACAGATAACTGCTGACCTTGGCCATGTTTTTTCAGAGGGGATTGCTTTTATTTATTATTTATTTAAAACATTTATATTCCGCTCTTCTCACGCCGCATGGGACTCAAGGCGGAGCACAACATATATACGGCAAATATGCAATCCCAGGACATAACTATACATATACACAAACATTAAAATCACTTATATCTACTTTAAAATCAGCTATTTAAATCCATCTCAAGACACCGTGCTGGCTCCGATCAGCAGAATAGCTTCCTTATTATTGCCTCAATGCACTGCCCTAAAGGTTTGGTCCCACAGCCAGGTCTTTACCATCTTTTTGAAGGACAGGAGAGAGGAGCTGGTCTAGTCTCACCCTTGCCTCCCTCTCTGAGGCTGAGAGAGTGTGATTTGCCCAAGGAAAACGACTCTTTCCAAGGTATGATCTTGAGCCATAGGTGGCACCTACACTGTAGAATTTATGCGGCTTGGCACCATTTTGAATGCCATGGGATGTTGGGAGTGGTAGCTTTACAAGGTCTGGTGCCTTATCTGCCAAAGTGTGCACCAAATTAACAAACCCCAGGATTCCATACCACTGGAAGTTAAAGCGCTTTAATTCTACAGTGTAGGAGCCCAAGCTGAAAGCTCTACATCTCCAGGTTTACCTAGGAGTTAAAGCCTCACGCAAAAGAAAGGCTATACAGCAGGCATGGGCAAACTTCGGCCCTCCTGGTCTTTTGGACTTCAACTCCCACAATTCCCACAATTCCTAACGGCCTTAGGCCCACAATTCCTAACGGCCTTAGGCTTGAGGCCGTTAGGAATTGTGGGAGTTGAAGTCCAAAACACCCGGAGGGCCGAAGTTTGCCCATGCCTGCTGTATAGTATAAGAGTAGCGTAATACTAAACCCAACCCCTTTAGGCCCTTGCCACCCATACAGTCCCAACAGACACCACAAAGGGAGGTCTTAGGGAGGCTGGGCCTCTGAAAGGAGGGCTTCTTACCAGCAAGGCCAGGCCGAAGAGGCACCAGCCCGTCACCAGGTCCGTCTGGGCGGTAAAGGCCGCCATCTTAACTTCCGGCAACAACTCGGCCAGCAAGAAGGCGACGGCGCCGTCGCAGGAGGGAGAGGGGAGGGGCTAACTGGATGGGCGGGGCCAAATCAGTGACGTCAAACCAACCGGAACGAGGTTGCTATAGGGACTGCAAAACAACGCCGCAACGCCCCCGAGGCAAATCAAGGAAGGGGATTGGTTGGCCTCGTGGTCTAAGGCGCTAATCAGGGAAGGCGAAGGCGAAGCAGCGAGCCTATCAGGTTTGAGGGGTGGGATCATTTGCATTGCGCGGCTGCTCTCAACTTCCAAGGATGCAAAACACTGCAGAGTTAATGTGATAACACTAAAACTGCCTTGCCTCTATGGCAGGGGTCCTCAATACTTTTAAACAGGGGGCCAGGTCACAGGCCCTCAAACTGTTGGAGGGCCAGATTATAATTTGAAAAACCATGAATGAATTGGGTCGTTGTAGGTTTTTTCGGTCTATATGGCCATGGTCTAGAGGCATTCTCTCCTGACGTTTCGCCTGCATCTATGGCAAGCATCCTCAGGGTAGTGAGGTCTGTTGGAACTAGGAAAGTTGGTTTATATATCTAATCACCTCTCAACAAAAGTTTGCTCCAGGCACTGTCAGCCCATTGTATGCTAATCAAGGTGGTCAGTTGAAACATTTACACCTAGCTCCAGCAGACAAGAGTCCTTTGTCCCACCCTGGTCATTCCACAGATATATAAACCCTTTTTCCTAGTTCCAACAGACCTCACTACCTCTGAGGATGCTTGCCATAGATGCAGGCGAAACGTCAGGAGAGAATGCCTCTAGACCATGGCCATATAGCCCGAAAAAACCTACAACAACCCAGTGATTCCGGCCATGAAAGCCTTTGACAATACATAATATAATCATAGAATCAAAGAGTTGGGAGAGACCTCATGGGCCATCCAGTCCAACCCCCTGCCAAGAAGCAGGAATATTGCATTCAAATCACCCCTGACAAATTCCTATGCACAATGCACATATCTTATTTGTGGTGCAAGAAATACTTTAAAGCAATACAATAATTAAAATGAAGAACAATTTTAACACATATAAACTTATTAGTATTTCAATGGGAAGTGTGGACCTGCTTTTGGCTGATGAAATAGGATTGTTGTTGTGTGCTTTCAAGTCTTAGGTTGACCCTGAGCAAGGGCCGAGTAAATGATGTTGGAGGGCTGTGTGGAAGGAGCCTCAGAGAAGTGGTGGTTCTCATGAAACTTCTGCTTGATTTGGTCTACTGAAAGGAGGCCGATAGCCATGCGGTGGGTGGCTTTCACAGGGCCGTTCCACATAGCTCTATATCCCAGAATATCAAGGCAGAAAATCCCACAATATCTGCTTTGAACTGGGTTATCTGAGGGCCCTTCCACACAGCCCTTTATCCCAGAATATCAAGGCAGGAAATCCCACATTATCTGAGTGTGGACTCAGATAATTACCCAGTTCAAAGCAGATATTGTGGGATTGTATGGCTATATGGAAGGGCCCTGAGTCCGCACTGCAATATATTCCACTTCAAAGCAGAAAATGTGGGATTTTATTCAGCAGTGTGGAAGGGGCCCCAGTTTAAAGCAGATATTGTGGATTATTTGCCTTGATATTCTGGGTTCTGTGGCGGTGCAGAAGGGCCCTTAATGGCTTTGTAGGTGAATAAAAGAAAAAGTGCATTAGTAAATTAATAAAATGTGCGTTCAGTGCAAACATTCCCATTGTAAAGGCACTTTAGTCAGAGACTGTTTATATGAAAGGAAAACTTCATGTCAAACCCAGGATTTTTATAGTTTTCTCAGGCAAGGTATATATTTACTTCAAAGATTACACGAGGGGAAAAAATCCCACTTAAATGGCGTCTGGTCCCCCCCCCCCCCATATTTTTTCTAGCTACACAAAATTGCGCACTTGAGTTTTCCATTACTTTAAGCCACTTAGTAAATAACTACACTTAAAAATCCTATGTTTCCTTTAATTCAATGGGAAGAATTTCTTCTAGGTGAGAAAAGGGTCAGGCAGATTCCTAAAAGGAGGAAAGAAAAGTTAAGATACAACCATTTTTCTTCCTGTATTTTAGGGCCCTTCCACACAGCCATATAACCCAGAATCAAGGCAGATAATTCACAATATCTGCTTTGAACGGATTATCTGAGTCCATACTGCCATATAATCCAGTTCAGTGTGGATTTTATACAACTGTGTGGAAGGGCCTTTAGATTCTCAGATAGAGCTATTAACCATTTTCTGTTTATCCAATTCTGTATTGATAAATGTTCTAGTTTTTTTTTCATGCTTTTACTGTTTCCATCCTTGCAGCACAAGCTGGAAACACTATGAGGTCTTTGGTAGGCTCTTATTTTTGTCCTCAAATACCAAGAGAAGAAATAATACACCCATATAATGGACTTTCCTATTATCCGGCATATTTTAGTATCTTTGGACATGAAATCCATACATAGTTCCAATCCACTAATGCTTCACAATCTCACATTTTTAAAACTCTATCCTTGTACTCTGCTGGCTTTTGCTTGACCAACTAAAGTACTACTATGAGGGCTTCAATAGTTTGCTCCCAAGTAATGTGAATGTTTTAAATACAGGTGTTTTAAAATACATTTTTAATTTAAAGTCTGTTATTTGAGAGCCAGTATGTTGTACAGCTCATAATCCAGTGCAAATGTTTGTTCTCATAGTCCAGACTGGATCTTATTATTAGCAAAATAGAGAAATTTGGACAGTCAGTCAGAATTTGCATTTGATCTTTATGAATTTGTGGGCAGAAACTATATCTGAGCTGTCACCATCTTACTTCATCATCTATAAGCATGGTCTGGCTGAACAGATGGTGTAAGAAATAAATAATGTCCTGAAATGGATTGCTAGGAAACTGGCCTTTAAAACCAAGAGTCAGTCCTACTAATGGGGCACTGTCTCAAGACTAGCCTTGCCTTTCTCCAGTGTAATGTTACTATTATAAATGCATGCATGATAACAAAGAACACAACCTCTGAGGATGCCTGCCATAGATGCAGGCGAAATGTCAGGAGAGAATGCTTCTGGAACCTGGCCATACAGCCCAGAAAACACAGAACAATTTAACAATTCAATTTGGCAAATTAATTCACAAATTCAATGCAAGACAATTAACAATGGCTATTTGTCCCTTCAATATTTCACTAACAATTCTACTTTTTCCAGCTTTGGGATAGTACTTCCTAACTGATTCTCAATTTTCTGGGTACAGCTTCCTACCCCCCAAAAATAATAGTGAGAAATATTCTCAGAAAATCATCTCACACAACTACTAGGCTGGCTCTCTTCTTCCTCTCTGAAACCACACGCTGCACATAAGTCAGTGGCAGAACATTACACCCCATCAGCTTTATGTGCAATCTCTTCTAGCTATTGCTCTTTCAGCACATATTCATTGAAAAGTACTCTTCATTCACAAAAATCAGGTATTCTTGGGAGCCCTTAATTTAGCACAAGGTGGGATTGTTCCACAATCAGTTAAGTCAATGGGCATGTGTCATACAAGGTCCAGAATGGGCAAAGTCCTGGAACGTGTGGTGGCCTCGCAACTCCAGGAATTCTTGGTAGACACTGATTATCTAGATCCGGCACAGTCTGGCTTTAGGCCGGGACATGGTACTGATGCAGCCTTGGTCGACTTAGTTGATGATCTTTGCCGGAAGCAAAACAGGGGGATTGTGTCCCTGTTGGTTCTGCTGGACCTCTCATCGGCCTTCGATACCGTCGACCATGGTATCCTTCTGAGACGCCTCGCAGGAATGGGCCTTGGTGGTATTGCCTTGCAGTGGCTCCAGTCCTTCCTTGAGGGTCGCTGCCAGAAGGTGTTGTTAGGGGACTCTTGCTCGGCCCCATGGCCATTGTACTGTGGGGTCCCACAGGGCTCAGTGTTGTCCCCTATGTTATTCAACATAGCCATTGGGGGAGATCATCCGGAGTTTCGGGGTACAGTGTCATTTGTATGCTGATGATGTCCAACTCTGTCACTCCTTTCCACCTGCTACTAAGGAAGCTATTCAAGTCCTGAACCGGTGCCTGGCCGCTGTAATGGACTGGATGAGGGCGAACAAATTGAAACTAAATCCAGACAAGACAGAGGTACTCCTGGTCAGTCATAAGGCCAAATAGGGTATAGGGTTACACCCTATGCTTGACGGGGTTACACTCCCCCTGAAGGCGCAGGTTCACAGCTTGGGAATGATCCTGGACTCATCGCTGAGCCTGGAACCCCAGGTCTCAGTGGTGGCCAGGAGAGCTTTTGTACAGTTAAAACCTGTGCGCCAGCTGAACCCGTACCTTGGGAAGTCTGACTTGGCCACTGTGGTCCACGCTCTGGTTACATCCCGTATAGATTACTGCAACGCTCTCTATGTGGGGTTGTCTTTGAAGACTGCCCGAAAGCTGCAATTAGTCAAACGCTTGGCAGCCAGGCTACTAACAGGAGTGGGGTACAGGGAGCGTACAACTCCTCTGTTGCGCCAGCTCCACTGGCTGCCAATTAGCTTCTGAGCTAACCTACAAAACCCTATATGGTTCCGGCCCAGTTTATCTGTCCGAATGTATTCTCCCCTATGAACCATCTAGAGTATTAAGATCATCTGGAGAGGCCCTGCTCTCGGTCCCGTCACCTTTGCAAGTGCGTCTGGTGGGAACGAGAGATGGGGTCTTTTCTGTGGTGGCTCCTTGGCTATGGAATTCCCTCCAGAATGAAATTAGATCTGCCTCCTCCCTCCTGACCTTTAGGAAGCTAGTGAAAACTTGGCTGTGGAATGAAGCTTTTGCGGAATGATGTCTGATACCGGCAATTGACCAAAGTTATTGACCATAATATATGGACTGAATATACGGACTGAGTTAACATGATTTTATCTTGGCGAATGGCTGTTATGTAATTTATCCTATATGTATTGGTTAATTTTAATGCTGATGTATGATATTTTAGATTTTAGTGTTAGCATTGAATTTTTGCTGTCAGCCGTTCTGAGTCCCTCTACGGAGGTAGAGTAGATCGGGATATAA